AGGGAAGTTGGGCTCATTCCTGTACAATGATGATCCCAAATTTAACTGACTGTGATCTCACCCAAACCTGCTAAGCCCAATATGCCAAGAGAGGGAATGTGGGAGTAAAAGTTTTAATAAGGACCCCAACATGTCCGGGATTAATGCACTAGTTTTGGGAGACAAGACTCCTGTCCATAGACTGAGGAAGTCCTGACAGTGGCTGTCTCATTTTACATACAATGATGATCCAAACAGAACTGACTGAGGCAGAGCTCATCCAGTTCCATGGGTCTCTACCATACATAGGATCAAAAGAAGAAAAACAAGGGGAAAAAAAAAAAACAAAAAACAAAATAGCGACTTAGAAGGAGGGAAAATGAAAATCTTCTACCTAACTGAGTAGTTACCAGAGTTCTTTTTGACCCACTGTATCAAGCTATGGTCATTCACATGCCTTCAAAGCTCAGCACCAGTGAAAACTTATAAATGATTTCTTTAACACAACCACAGCTCTCAGGTGGGAGGCAACCTATGGCTCATTTCACCCCAATGGAAGAATTTCCCTACTTTTATTGTATTCTATCACCATCTTAACATTCCTTACGTGTTATTATTAAAGACTCTCTTGACATTTAAAGCAGACGCACACTAATACTCAGTCATAGTCTAGGAATTCTAATGCTCCCAGAGTTAAGCAGGATTTTAAATTATGAAAAATAAGTGTCTTGGTTTTCAAAGAGGGAACATGGAAGTGAGAAACCCAGAGAACCCCTCTTCTTTTTCTTGGCTCCAGTCACAAAGCAGTGACAATATGCAGCGATGATGCCATTAGAACTTCTTCCCCCACGTGGTCTGAGCTTACTCAGGGAGAGTCCAGGAGGTTCTGTGAGGCCACTGCTGTGAAGAACGGTCCTGAGTATTGCCTTCAGTGGCGTTAGAGGGGCCCAAAGTGGGACACATCACAGATAATATATTTGCAAAAGTCTAGGAAGCTAGTGTGATTACAAACAGTAATGCTAATGGTACAGTGATCACACGTAAAGTCCCTACAGTAATTGATCTGTGTTAGGCTTAATGTCTCCCTCTGCTATTGAAACTTGTACACTTTTCTCCCTGCTGACATTTTCTTGGAGCTTACAGTTCCTGGTGCAGATGATTTAGAGAACTTCCAAGGGGTTCCTATGTCACTAAGTTCCACCCTTGTCTAGCTGCCATGGATTGCTGAGGAGGGAGCTCCAAGGGGCAGAGAAAGGCATGGCCTCACAAGGCAGGTTTTAAACCCAGTGATCTGCAATGCCTTGGGGTAATACACAGAACCTCAATGAGCCATGATGACCCTGCATGAAAAGTGCCAGGTGGAGCGCCATACAAAAGGAGGCGTGAGCTACACAGGCTGGGCTAGAATCTCAGGCCTTTGGCTTTGAACAAGTGAATTAGACCTTGTAAACTTCGGTTTCCTCATCTGTGAGAGGAGAGGCACAGAGAATTGTTTCTGACTCAAAAAGCCAATAACTGTGAAGGTCATCAGTGACTTAGTAACACCTTTTCAAAGGAGAAGAAAGGCGCATGCTCATTAGATGTCTGATGTATACTGATTTCCAAAAGTTCTGTTTTTCCTTTAAGAAAATGACTCTTAGGATTGAGGACACAGGGAAGTATCTACTCACAGGTAGGTTGTGAGGAGTCCATGAAGTTAGGGGTATGAAACACCTAGGATTGCCTTGGTATCTAGTAGGAACTCAATAACTACCCTTTCAAATGGCTTCCCAGGTCCTCTATAAATTACAAGCAGAACAGGAGGCATTAGACAGCTCTCTTCCAAAGCCAATGGATGCAAAGTAATCATCAGGGTGAACAACTCATTCCCCTTTGCCAGGTACTTTCCCAGTTTCGAAACTGGAAATCCCAAGTCTCAGGAAAGCAAACTGTGAAGACTGGTCATCCCACTTCTTGAGGAACAGAGAGATGATTTCAAGAACGAACATACATTCTTCCACTATCCTCCCTCATACTACGATCAAGGCAAATCCTTCAATGGCTCTTTCCTCCTGGAATGTACTTGCTCCTGCCCCTTCCCGGGTCAGCTCCACAATGACTCCTGTGCTTCCTCTGAGAAACTCTGCCTGGTGTGGAATTAAAGACGTGCTAGTCTTCCCTCACGGCCAGGCTGCACAGTACAGGAAGGAAGAGGCTGCCTTGCTTATCTGCATCCAGTGCTCAGAACACAATAGGTGCTTGATAAATAGTGAAATAAATAATGGAATCAAATTATTAAAGACAAAAGGTCCCACCCCATCACTACCACCCTCCTGCCTGGTCAAACCTCCATTGGTTTGGTTGGCTCTTTTTCCTCTTGGCTGCTTTCAATATTCACTTTAAAGGGTCTGTAGGCTGAGGGACTGCAGGAATCCTGTCCTGAGCCCTGTCCCCTGACACATGCTGAGCTGTGGATGCGAGGAAACATCGGGTCTCCAATGCTTTTTTTCTTCACTCAAAACCCATCTTCATACCCAGGGAGGATGTTCTGACAATTGAGCAAGGTCACATGATCATTAAAACCAACATATATCTAGTCAGAAAAATTTCTCTATGCCATGAATGTCTCAGCTTTCTGAAGAGAGAAATCTGTCAGAAGACTTTTCCTTATCTGTTAAATTAGATGCTTTTCCTTTTTCCCAGGGTGGAATTCTGACCTAGTCACTAAGATAACTTTTGTGCCATCTCATTCACAACTTAATGGTTGAGATAATTCATAAGCATTTCCCACCTAAGTGAACCTGGGCAACTAGGTAACTAGGTTAATATGAATATTTAAATCCCTGAGGCCATCCTGGCTGGTGCTCGAGTATCAAGGAAGCTTCAGGTGTTCTCTTACACTCCTGCCCATGGCATCTGGGTGGGCAAACTATTTCCACATCCTGTGTCTCCAGCTCCTCTATCTTCTGTGTCTATGTGTGTATGTGTGCAAGCACATGCACATGCACATTTCATGACCTATAAAACACCGTGCATATTGATTGTGGGAACATCATCCCCCTCCAGCTCTAACCTATCCTCTTGTCTGCACAGCATCCAGAAGACTGTCAAAAGAAAGCATCTAACAGATAAACTCCTAAAATATATTCCCTTACCTCAAACAGTCATGTTCTGCACCCAAATGATTACCATGATGTCCGTCTACCTTGATGTTAGGTACTTATGTGTACAGTGCAAGCAGTGCACACAAAGTCTCTACAATGTTGGGCTTCCAGGTAACAGATGGAGTTAACCACCACTGAGTCCACTGCTACGATGTCAAAAATTACAACTGTCTTTGTAACAGTGAAATGTGGTTAGAAATATTCAGAAAGGCTAAGAATGCCACTAAGATGTCTTTTCAACCCCTCTTTCCTCTGAGACCAGTAATGGGAGGTAACATGAGACATCAATTAACCATTTTGTTAATAAGTTCCACATAATGGGTCCACTAATAGGAAAACATGCATTACATATTGTGGTAACTTCCCACAAAAATAAAAACAGTACGCATGCATCTTATACACGATGTTGACAGAATGGGCCTGAGTCAGACTTCATGGCCATCATCGTGATTTCTGCCTTCTCGCCCTAACTCTTAACGTTAGAATTGTGAAGGCTTTTCGTGTGACTCCAGTATAGCGTTACGCAGATATAGCGCCAAGAAAGGAAGCATCTCTAGCCACGATCCCCTTGTTTTCCACCTAATTCTTGAGGAGAGGTTCATTGGAGGTAAGAAACACAAGGGCCTTCTGTTTTGGGTCAGAGTGAAGGGTTCTGGGGTTTAGATCCGTGGGACTAGAAATAGACATCATTCATGTGGGTTTCATTCATAATGGTCATGTCTGGTGCTAGCTGACAACCTACAAGATTCTCCTATGGAACCCTTTCACAGTGATGCTCCAGGGTAGACATAATGAACCTCCACTGATCTATGATGTAAGCTCCATTTTGAGCTTTTTGGGTTTGTTTTTCTAATGGGGGCACACATGTGACTGTGCTCGCAGATGTAAATGCCAGAGACCTAAAGTGCTGTGCAGAGAAGGGCCTTGAGAGTCTGGCTGGTAGGGAGAGACTGCTCCTCCAACAATATAGAGATCACCGTTGGGGAACTTACTATTGCATCTTTGATGGCTCTCTCCTGCAGTGCTAAGTTGTGCAACTGTTTTTCAAATTCAAGTTAATGAATGGTAATTCTATAATACACTTGGAGGTTCAGGTACTTCCTGGTCTGGGGAATGCCTTCTTTAAGGCAAAAAAAGTAGTCACGGGGATGGTCATGCCCAGGGCATCCTCTCTAGAGGAGGTAATGATTAATCAGTGTGCTGTGCAGAGAATGGGGGGATGATGCCTACGAGCAATAAGAGAGAGGCTGTTCAAGCATGAGAACACCTCTTCAAACTCTTCTGGGCCGCTGCAGGGACCTGGTTTCCCCAATAATTCAGGTTCTATGGGCACAGCAATTGTTCATTAAGTCAATTAAAAAGTGCATTTTAGACACGGGTACAAGAAATGGCAAATGTGACAGTACAGACATGGAGATGTTGAACACAAGAGGAAGAGGAAGCCCACAATGAGTACAGCTGGTGGTTTGAAGTGTACCTTGTCTCACACTGTCCCACCTGTGCCAGTCTGCCACCCAGAGACACTCCATCTTAATCTTGACCTCTCAGTTCTGGCTCAGGGTGAGGGTTCTTTAATAACTAAAAACAGTTAACATATTCTTATATATTTCATCTGCTTGGACAATATCTAATGGATAAAATTGCTTTGACTTGGGTTCCTTTCTAGCACTGAAACTCTTTTGAGCATGCTTCTGGTGTTTTCAGGAACCCATCAGTGTCAGCTAGCACTACCCAAGAAGAGGAGAGCAGCACTGGAAAATTATTTATCTACAATCTGTTTTTCCTTTAAAATATAAGAACCAGGAAAGCAACCTTAACCATTTAGCTCACCTTTGCCACCCTTTTACTGGCTTCAGCTAAGTTCCTGCTATGTTACAGGCTCTGGATAATGTGTGCTAAACGAACTGGTAAAATAAATAGATAAACAAATGAATATCCATCAGCCTGATTTCCACGATCCCCAAGATGGACAAATACTTGTTACGTGAAGCTGCTGTTGGGGAAACCTGACCAGTGCGGTGACTAGAATGGTTTCAGACACCACAGTGAAGAAGGAAGAGGTAAGAAGGGGTTAGGAGACATTTAGATAGCCCAGAACCTAAGGGGAAAAAGTTGCTGTTACATAATGTGATGCAAATGGGTTTTCTGAATTCTCTGGAGCAGAGGTTGTTTGGCAAACTTTGTAAGAGCCAGCCAGACAGTAAATATTTTTAGCCTTGCATGCCACAGGGACTCTTTTGCAACTACTCGACTCTTCTGTTTTAGTGCAGAAGCAGCCATTAGCCATAGCCATAGATAATGTGTCAATGAATGCACATGGCCATGTTCTAATACAACTTTATGTATGGACACTGAATTCTGAATTTCACATAATTCATTCTTATTTTGATTCTCTCCCCCCTAAATTATTCAAAATGTGAAAACCTTTGTTAGCTCTTGGGATTTGGCTCATAATCTGCAGTTTGGCAACTCTTGCTCTTCACAAGCATTATGCTATCACCTTAACTCCCTTGGCCTCTGAAGAAACCAAATCCTTTAGAGCGAGCCTGTCCCTTCCTTTTTTTAAAGCAAACTCTCAAGCAAAAATATTACTAGGAATATTATGGGTAACTACTATATAGTAACTTCTGGCCAGATGATCTTCTTTGATTCATATCACAAGTTGAAAACCCTAATTTCAGTTTGATTTAGGGCTGAAGAATAAAAGGAAATCTATGAATAAATGAAATCCAAAATAATCAAAGAATCCTTCTAATAGTCTGCAATGCTCCTAGGCCACACCCATCAAAAAATAACATAAAAGCTTCCAGCAGAGAACCACTTAACTTACTGATGGTCTAACTCCTTTCCTTCTCTTGCCAGCTCTTGGGGAGAGTGAGGAATAATGAATAAAGCAGATAATCAGTTCCTCAGTATTGAACAACAGCCCCACACTCAAATCTGGAGTCTGGAACACCTACTTGGGCAAATTGTGACACTCTGAAAAACACTTTATTCCAACCGAATGTTAAGAATTTATCAACTAAATAAATGCAGGAACTTAAATCACTTTATAACCACTAATACATAAAGATTTAGGTAGCAAGAGCCATAAAGTTGTTCTGTTGAAACCAATTTCTCAAGGGCTAACTACACATCAATCAGAAGTGAACTTTGGGGATGAGTTAAATGACACTACTGTTTTCCTTCTGAATAAACATGCTAAATTTAAAGATGTTTCCAAAGACTTATGTAAAAATTTGGGGATTTTATGATGTGCCCTTTGCCTGTATGAATATTTTACTGTTCTCATAAGTTCATATCTGTAGTCTGAATTAAAAAATATTAACTAGCTAAAGAAAATAACTTTTGAGACAATCTTACTAAAAAAATGTAATTTATCATATAAGATGCTAACTAATTAAAAAAAAATCCTTTCTATCCTGAAAAGTCACAACAAAAAGTTTAAGTATGTTTTGGCTGATTTTTCTCTGCAACTATTTGAAGCTGTAAATGACTTAACTCAGTAAAATTCCAAATGTAATTATCTTCTGTACTTAGCCTAGGGCTCTCCATATATCTCGGCATTGCTGTCTTGCATACAAAATAGGCTTTTCGATGGCTGGTAACAATATAATGTACAACATTGTTTTAATTTCCCCTAGTCGGCTAACCTCTTGCCTACACTAAACCAGCCAGAGGAAGAAGCCACAGTGAGTCATCAAGCACTCAAAAGCATTTTGGAACTCGGTTGCATAAATGGGGTTTGCAGGGTCAGGCTTTTGCAATTGTACATTTTAATAATCTCCATTTCTGACCCAATTTTTACTTTTAGAAACTAATTTTCTATTAATTATACCAAGAATGGAATTATTGTTAAAATATGGTGGTTCATCAACAAGTGACATCAAGAAGTAGAACCCACATTAAAAAGTGCCCCCCATTCCTCACAACTATGATCCACAGGGAAATAGGCAGAAGTTTATTTTCTAGAGTTACAAAATACACTCCACATGGCCCAATGGATTGCCAAATACTAGGTTTTATATGTATATGTGTGTGTATATATATGTATATGAAAATATGTATGCATATTATATATTATACATTACATATCTGAATACATGTTTGCAGGTGTGTGCATGTGTGTGCATATTTAAAATGTATGCACTGAACTCTTGTTCTCAGTGACTGAGAGAAAAGGTGACAAATTAACATGAGGAATAAATCCACATGTGGCTTCTACGTTAACTTTTGACAGTGTGTGTGTGTGTTTGTGTGTACTTGCTGCTGACACTCGAGTGTGCTTTCCACTCCCATCCATTCTCTCTCAATCTCACTCCCTGGCTCCTCTCCCTAACTCCAGGTTACCGATATTGGCAACTCAGGGGACTCACATCAACAACAGATAAGGTGCAAGTTTTTTTAACTTCGAACATTTTCCATTTGCAGGAGAAGACACAGAGGAGGGGAAGTGAGAGAGAGAGAGAGAGAGAGAGAGAGGGAGAGAGAGAGATGGAAAGAAAGCTCACAGAGGTAGCGGGGCGTTCGAGGCATACACAGAGATGCACAGAACTTTGAAACATCTGAGCAGCAGCTCCAAAGAAGGAGCTGAAGGTGAACCTTCCCCAAGAGTGAAAAAGAAAAGAAAGAAAGGACAACAACAAGTTTTGGACCTTCCATTCAATAATGAGTACACAGGAACTCATTTCAGAACACTACAGAAATTTGGAATTTGAGGAATACTGAGGTAATATTAAAAATAAATTTGGTTTTACCTGTAGCTCTAACTGCTGTACAACCTGCATTTGTACTCTACATTGAGCTGTACTTCTATCGTCCAGCGCATGCTCACTGTTGAGATGTCTGCAACAATACATAGAAAATCATTAAGTGAAATGGAGAAACAAAAAAAGGAAAATATAAGTTACCAGGATGTTTAAGCATCAACTAGTTGGGTCTAGTTCGCAGCGGACAGTCCATTTGTGAACAGCCTGCACTTCTCCATCCCCACCACTGAATACTGGCATTACACGTAATTTAGTACACTGTTATCACCGAAATAAAAGTCTTCCAGGAAGAAGTTCTGCAGGGCATCTAGAGATAACCATTTACACATAAATAAAAGGAAATTTCAGCAATTAAGTCGAGGTGGACATTTAAGACCCCCTCGATGGGTGGATATCTAAGAAAGGGACAGCCAGGGATCTCTGGAGAGTTCAGACGCCTAATTTGTCAGGGTCTGGATAGGAGCGTTTGTTCACAAGAACACGGGTTTTATGTAACTGATGACACACCCTTATGTTGAAATGCAATAACGTGAATGTCAGAAATGGCAAAGGGTGGAAAAGCAACTTTAAACACACAAAATCTGAAGCATGAACCTACACATGCAAATTATGTACCATGGAGAGGGAACAAAATGCAGACAATTATTTAAAAGGAAAACTCTGCCTGGGTTCTTCACTGTTAATGGTCTGGATATCCAGTTTATAGATGATTCAGGCCACATGCTGTGTATGCCTGTCTTGTGGTCCTTTTACTATTTATTATAGATTTTCCAACAGGGAAAAGGCTAACAAATTGAAATTTCAATCACTTTTACCATATGCAAGAGCTCTGGTAATCAGAGGGCTGAATCAAAGCCTAAAATTTTAAAAATGAAAATTCCTGTATCCTTATAACTCAGTTCTTTCCTATTAGTGATAAAAAAGACTTCATTATGTAAAGAGAGATTCATCTCCAATTCTATGAAGAACATTTTCTTGACATTTAGGCCCAAACAAAATTTGCACTTAAGGTAAAATTATCACATGCTCTAACGACAACATCAACCACAACAATAAGAGGGATAGCTGATTTTTAAGACTTTAGGGTGCTACCCTATTTCAGGGACTTTTTCCAAATGTGCCTTAAGGAAGAAATTTAGAACCAAGGTTTGCAACCTTTCAAAATACCTAAATAAACCAATGTTCATCTTCAGCACGGTTACCTTTAACTCAGTTAAAGGTAAAATTAAGCCTTCTTCCTTTGTTAATGCATCTCCCTCCTGCTTCCCAACACTGCAAATGTGGTTGTTTCATGTCCTGAAGCTACTTGGAATGACTTTTACCTTAAAAAACAAAACGAATACAAATCCTGCTGTTCTCCATACTTATTTATAGCCCTCCCACCCCACCCCATTAAGAGGGGGGGGGGAAAGAGAGCGCAAAGAAGGAGACTTGATGGTGAACAACGGTAATGAACCTTCAAGATATTACCTCCAATCTTAGGCCAGAATAATGACTACAGTCTATTCTGTTTAAAGAGTAAATGAACAAACAATAGAAGACCACACAAGGAAGGCCAAGCTAAGCAGTTTCACATGCTGCTCACTCACCTGGGGTGAATAATATTTTACAACGTGCTTTTAAAAAAGGCTGCTGTAATTGACAAAATGGCCTAGTTCAGGTGTTCTTAAAACGGAGACCATTCAACCTCTTGAAATCGAACGCAAAATTTTTAGCCTATGCTTTTTCTGGGAACCAGGGAGGGGCTGCAACACTCGAGAGATGCTCAAGGAGAGCCATGATCCGCAAAAGGGGCAGAACTGGGGGAGGGGGTCAGTATAATCCCTCATTTTCGAAATTCAGAAATTGAAGTTCAGAGACCTTGGAGATTTGCCTCAAACCAAGTGGGTAATCAGCACCCCAACTCTCACAATCAGTGGAGAAATGCCAGACTCTCCTCTGAGCCAGGCTTCCGTCCATTCGATGACATAGTTTGCTTCCACGGAAGTAAAGAAAGAGCCTTTCATTCTAATAAGCTATCACCAGTAGAACAAGGCTGTAGCCCAGGGAGGCATTTTGCTGGATCTGCTCAACACTGAGGGATTTTGTAAAAGAAATACTACTACATCCACTTATAAAATGCATTCACTGGAAGGAGTTGGATTCATCTGTTCATTCAGCATTTACTGAGTACCCACTACATGCCAGGTGCTACCAGAAACCGGGCACCAGTGCCTGAAAGAAATTCCTCTAGTCTGTACCATCGGTTTTCAAAATCCGCCTCACCAAACTGTCAAAGATCTAAACTGTCA